GGAAATGAAATCTCAAGGTCAACTGATCATCCCATGCTGGCAAACGTGAAATCCAAGATGATTCATTTATCAAGCGAGTTCTGGGGATCTAACATCCCCAACACAAATATTCCACTTTAAGCGAAGAATATGACTCTCGGATTGTTAGTAATATCAATTTGTGGCATTGATTAATTATTTAGTATGGACCGCAGTCATGTTTGTCTAGACTGTAATGGAAATCGAATTATCCTATCAAGTTGTAACGTGACTACTAGCAAAATGTGACTAGATATGTTCTGATTCAACGGAGTTGGAAACTGTTAGCAAGAAACTTCGAAAAAAGGTTTCGTCCCAGTTCCTCATGAAAAGATGCCTTGACTTTTGAAAGAACTACTTATATTAGTTTTTGCTTGATAATTGAAATGTTTTACAAACGTCAGATGTATTTTGTTAAGTGGGAAAATAATCAGACACTTAACAGTCTTCAATAAAAGTGCAAAAACCTAGCATTTCACAATTCATTTTGTTCCACTCCGCTGCTACGAAGAGCATGATTTTCACTGAACATTTCTGTTAGGATAATCATTCGATATCCTAAGAGAATTATTGGTCAATTACTATTGGTTAATTCCTACTGGTCAATTTTATGGTCGTCCTAAATATCAATGTCACATGCTCCAATGTTGTTTCTAATTGGTTGTCCTGACTATCAATGTCACTCTAAATGTTGCTTCCTATTGGTCGTCTTAACTGTCAATGTCACAGACTTCGATGCTGTTTCTCATTCGACCAAAATGTATAAATATGCATTATCTGTAACGTTTTATGACCACGACCAGGACCAGGACCCGGTCCCGGATCCGTAGTCCGGGATCCTGTTTCTCTTCTGGATTCGGACCTCTTACTTTCTGGATGCTTGTAGAATACGGATTCTACTTTATATCATGTCTTCTTATTTTCACTGAATATGGGGGTTGGGATAGTCGGATTTCGTTAGCTTGTCGTGTCGCCGGATCCTCAATCATCTATCTCGATTTCCGACTAAGTAAACTCGTAATAGTTCAAGTATATCAAGTTGAAGTGTTAACGTGCAGGCGTAACAATTTCAATCTAATAATCTGAAGCTATCCACATAGGTGTTCTGTGAACACACCCTTGCAGAGCATTCAAAATTATTGGATAGCAAATGCAAATAATATGAATGTTAAAACTTCAAACAGGATACACAGTGGAATTTATGCTCTTCAATGCAGTACTCAATCAATCACAGACAATGCAAAAAATATACTAAGATAATTCCGAAGAGTTAACTGGAGTTAAGGCGATCATAAACACTGACATAACACTAATACTTAAACATTGATTCATTGAGGATTCTCTCTTCCAGCAAGCAGATCTGAACTACTTGAATATATATATCTGGGCTACCTGTTTCCTAACAATAAAATACTTCAACAAGTTATCACATTTTGCTTGATTTAACATGTCTATTAGTGGTGACATAATCTGTTCACAAGTGTATATATACGTTTTGCCTGTAATCTTACTCTATCCACTTCCAGTTTCGACTGTCAGTTTCTTTTGATCTTATGCATGCGTTATTTCTAATTGCTATCAGTTGCTTACTCTATAAAATGTGAGTGTATTGTGTGTGCTCACTGAGTCGTACATTCACTCTTTTCTCTTGTTCATTCCTCTTTCTGATAAGCAAGCTGACACGCTGCTGCTGACACTCCACCAGCACACAAGATACCTCCTGTCTAAACGCGAACTAGCCAAATGTTGAATTTTAATACCAGCTAATTACTGTACAAGATTCAAAAACGTTCAGTCTGAGACATCGGAATGGCCGGAAATTGGCTAAGAAAACAATCAAGGTTAATAAGATGTCCATTCCTGGATTACTTACATCCAACTGCCTGCCGATCACTAATTGTTGAGAAATACATAAGGAACTAAACATACAGTTTCGAATAAAAACATTATTATGAATAATGTTGTTATTATCATTGTTTCTATTATATTGGGTATTTTCTAGTGGTATATGGGTGGTCAACATGGGTTCTATATATATATTTGGGGACGTTAGATTCCCAAATCTCACTTGGAAAGGTCCTAATTTTGTAACAGTATTCTGAAATTGTGAATTTCCATGTTTACGCGTCAGTTGACTTTCAGCTCATACTTCCTCCTCGGAAAATCCTTGACTGTCATTGTTTGGTGGATTATTTTGTTAGGCTATTTTGTGGCTGTTCGAAGGGCGTCTCTATCATTGTATAACTGTATAAGTTTGATTTGTGTGCTTAGAACCTCGTATTATATGGGTGCTTTTAGAATACAATCTCTACGCCTTATCAAGACGTCTTGCTTTTGTCAACCGTAGCTGGAACCATGGATAAGAATAGCCTATTATGTCACTGTGTAGTTGACGGTGGAAAAGATTGAGGTTCGAATAAATCATTCAAGAAGTGTGGCGCAGTAAAATAAATTTAGACAGAGGAAGATAGAATTGAATATTAGAATTAGGGAGAACAAAATGAGTGGATGCATCAGCGCATTTGTTTACGACTTTGATCCATGTCTATCAAAATCTCTAACCATCGATGTGATGAGACACGACAAATTAATCTCACCAATATCCTGATTCAGTTCGTAATTTCACGAGTAAATCATAAAAGAATCTGCCATCAATTCGATTATGTATTTATATAGGATTAACTAGCCGTAACACTGGAAGACCTGTTAAATCAGTAGTGGAACGCTTCTACGAAGAAAATACGATTTGTGAAAAATAAACATCATTGTACTCGTTTTGTTTAACTGTAGAAAAAACACTTCTTGAGCGCAACGATATTTTCGCGTCGCTGCCTTTTTTCCAAACGCGCTGCTCCCCATGTAATGCCTACTTTCTCTTTCAATAAAATTTTGAAACATGGATTTATTTTGATATATGTCACGAGATAGTATGGAACATTTAGTGGTGATCATAGACAATCTGGTATTCTCTCACCACTAAAATCCTAAAGAAGCACATACAAACTTATTGAGTGGTAAATCCAAATAATGTGAATTCTAAAACTTAAAACCGGAATCCTAACATTAAATTTATGCTTTTCAATGAAGTACTTAATCACTCACTAACTCATTCTTTCAATCACTCAACCAATCAATCAAAGTCAAAGTAAAATATATCACAAGTATTGCGTACATATTGAACAATGAGTGCTTGATACACCACTAACTCATTGACACACACACACACACACACCTTATCTCTTGTCTAACACATACATCAATAATATCGATCAAGAACATGTTAAACAACTTATTTCATCATCACACATCACCGCATCTCTAAACAAATATACTACAAGTTCCAATATCACAGAAAAGAGATGCATAATCGTTATGTATGGTCGATCGCATTCATAGGTGTCTTCGAAGCATTGCTCGTATATCGTGGGACACCCGAGTGAGCAACGCTGTTATTAGGACACGGGTGCTAGGTAAGAATGGCAGATCAATAGATAAAGGTGGTTGGGACATGTGTTGCGTATGCCCAACCACCGGCTGTGTAGGAATAGGCTGGGAGAAAGTTAGGGGTGGCCAAATCAAAACATGGCAGAAATCCATGAAGTCGTTGACGAGTGGACTTAGCCAGTCGGTAATTGTCGACTACCTGGTTTGGGTCCGCGAGATGATAATAATCGATGGTTAGAGACCTTGAATGACATGGCTCAAAATCGTTCGCAATGGCGCCGGTGCATCTATTCTTTGTGTTCTCTCAAATCCTAATCTTCTGGATTCTTCAATACCTCTAGTTTTGACTTTCTAAACTTTTCTCATTTAATCATACTTCTTAAATAATATCTTCTCACCCTAACTTCTGTGATTACTTCTAATACCCTTACTAACTCTTCTACTATTGGATTTGAATTGACAATTACATCTCTGTGCTGATGTGGTATGGCAACATGAACTGATATACTTATGTGCGAAGTTCTACGTTGAAACTGACTGACTGACTGATGGTCGATCGCATAATTGATTGTGTCATTCCGATTTGCTGATAGTGAAATTAACAAAGTTTACTGGTTACAACGATGTAACTACTCAGTGTTTGCCAACTGAGTTTCACAGAATGATCAATGAAAGTACCATGCTGAATCTGAAATGTCACTTTTTCAGTCGTCGTCATTACTTGTTCGTTTTTATTCATTTTGTGATTCATCAATTGGTAAATCATCTTTCCCGTCTGTCTGATGCATGAACTATCCTCAGCAAATCGTTTTACGCTACTACACTTTAAACTATGAGTAGCTTATATACGGTGGTATATCAGATTTCCAATCGATTCGTTATTTATGTTGTATCTTTGTATGGGTGAAACAGCTATAAGCGTGATTTGACAACTCCTTCCGTTAGACAACGATTCGCAAGATGTTCTGTTATCAGTGACATTTAGTCATTACTGACTTCTCCCCTATGAGAATGAAACTAGTCTACCTACAATTTTATGACGAAATGAAATCACCAAAACATGCTATTTAATAAGTGATTAATACTAATGATTGACGGAGTCAGTTTCATTAAGCCACCATTGATTGCACAGTAAGAGTGAATGAGTGCATTGATAAAGCACGTTTGATTCCGGATTACTTCGCCTTTTGACTGGCTGTGCACCGAATGATGAAAAGCCATTATATCAAAGTTAACTCAAAACTAAATGCACACTACTCACACGACGAAACCATCGATTCGTTTCATGTAACAGCGACTTACACTGGGTTCAAACATGAATAACTCAATTATTCTGAACTATCCCTCAATCAACCTCAAATACCTAAAACAGTTCCATGATATTAGTTATGACAGAGCTCGATCTTTATCGGATACTTTATAACTACACATCGACTGACAACAATTGACTACCTAATCAAAAGCCGAAATTTCTCAGCAAAGTTAATTTGCGAATGAATAAGGGTATAGTCGTGAAACACTAACTGGAAAGAAAAATTCTCAGTTCAATAAAATTATATTTTGGTTTTTCCTCTCAAACATGTGTGCGTATGTGTAGGTATAATTCCTTTGATGAGTGAGTAGTCAGTCTGGTTTGAGGGTTTCGCAACCCTCAATATTTATATATATATGCCACCGGTTCCGACATGTTCTCAATATCACAACTCATGTTTACTTAATTATCTTCAATTTCATCAGATGTCTTAAATCTCGATTAGAAGACATTTGATTCTTCTCTGTTTGTTTAAATTGATGTCCACGTACACCATTTACGCCTACATACCCACCTTCCATATTGTTCAATGCGAATACCCCTGTACGTAAAGAACGTCTTTCACGTCCATGAATAGTACGGTTTCGTGTATTGTTCGTGTGAATCCGATTATTATGCTCGTCTCTCTTCATACCATCCACATATTCACTTGTTGCATTGGAGGTGTTGTGAGATGGAACTGATGTATGCTGTTCCTTATGTGTTGACCGATTCTCACCGCTTCTATAAATAGACGATCGTATGGCGTAGTGATTATCCAGTCCTAAACTTTGTATCACTGTATCTAACCTTGAACGGAAACTGACCAAATCCTCTAATGGAATACCGATAATATTACGATGTAGGTCAGTGACTTGGGAAATGTGAAGTCGTTTTCCCCATCGAGTGTCTTTCAAATTGAACAAGAACCTCCTTTCTCCTGACATACTATAGAGTGATGGAACTTTTGGAATTAGATCAACTGTTCGATAACGAGTCACGACATCAGCTACAAAGTAAAATATCAAAAATAACCAAAGGATAATTTACACGTGGTTTTTAAGTTAAACTGAAATCGTTCACATACTACATGCAAAACATATCGAGCATGAATAAACTGAAATTATTGACAACAAAGCAACATTCAATATTCAACGATACATAATTGGAAAATGGATTAAAAATGGAGAGAGTGGACATCCCCGACAGAAGCCACGTGAAGTAAAGAATTCCGATATCAGTTCGCCATTAGCTCGTACCTGACCAGTAGTTTTAAAATAGAGATCTTGTATTAGGTTAATGTACTTCTTTGGTACACCTTTCATTGATAGACACTGCCACGGAACCTCACTATCCATAGAATCAAATGCCGCCTTTAGCTCCAGGAATACGACTGTTGTAGGACGTCTAAATTTGTGTCTGTGTTCCAGGACCTGTCGTGGTGTGAAGATGTGGTCTATACATCCACGTCCAGGTCTGAAACCAGACTGGTGTTCTAGAGTCTACTCTTCACGAGCACTAGTTAGGCGTCTAAGTGTAATCGAGGCTTACAATTTATAAACTATATTACTTAGACTGATTCCTCTGTGATTATCACAAGAAGACTTTTGTCCTTTCTTATAAATTGGGAGAATCAGGAATTGAGAACAGTCGGATGGGATTGTATCCAGTGCCCATATTCTACCTAAGATTTCAGTCAATCTAGCTGATAATACTGGACCACCATCGTTAAAAATCTCAGGAGTCAGTCTATCGGTTCTTGCTGCTCTCTCTCGCTTCAGATTTCCTATAGCCTTTTCAACTTCACAAAGGTTCGGAGGTTTTACATCGGCTCGCCATTCAGGATGACTGGAGATCATGGGTAACCGAAGTGTGACTGAAGGCCAGTTGAACTGATCCCTAAAGTGTTCTGCCCTTCGATCCAGTCTCCTGGATTGAGAATAAATAATAGTCCCATCCTTTTCCGAGATAGTCTCACTTACAGCAAATACCGGTTTCTTTAATAAGTCGAAACAACTGTCCACTGTTGCATATTACCGCTATTTTTTCCATCGCTTTTGCATTCGCAACCCATCACTGTTCACGGTGGTTGCGCATGGCATTTTATCTGCCTACGCTTAAGCTGACTTCTTTCTTCATCATGTTCAGAGCCAGGTGGGATGAGTTTTCGAGCGTCTATCAGTTCCGCGGATGCTACTGAGATCCACGGCTTCATTCTAACCTTATGGTTTACCTTACTAGCAGATATCACTGTTGTTTCCACAGCCTTTTTGATATCATTCCAACCTGCTTTCGGATGAGAATCGCTTACATTGTTGCCTAACTCTCTTTCTAGTTGCTACTGGAATATATCCTTAGCGTTGTTCTCATTGAAAATAGTTCACCCTAATATAAAGCTTTGGAATCCACATTAGAATCTCCCTACATGAGTATCATTTCCACATTGATGATATTCAGTAAGCAAGTTTACAAAAGGTTCTAATAACGAAATCACTGCTACAATGTTTTCTCTTCAATAAATATACAATTTCATTTTGTTTCAGTGAGAGGAAACGCGACTCCATCTCAGGTAAGTGAACCATTTTTTCAAAATGTAAAGTGATAAAAGCAATCAAACAACATTGTCTCGCGAAATTTAAATGAATATGATTCTCACAACTCATTCACTAAGCTAGAATATATATCCATCATCGCCACCACTTATCTTTCTGTACATGTGAAAACATCATTCATTGTTGACTCACTAAAATAATAGTAAATGAAGAAACCGACAAGACAATAATACTGCTGTCATGCTTGTGCAAGCAAAACAGCAGACTAAGCAATTATAGTTAGAACAGATGCGAACTCTGCCTGAATCCCTGATGGGGTTGCTGCCGACTCCTCGTCCGGATTAAGTAGGAGGGTTGGTCATGGTGTTCGCGACCCCTATCTTGTATAATGCTAACTTGCTTGATAAACGCTGATTAGAATAATTCTACGAGAGACTGCAATCAGTCAGTCATCGAGCGATGGCCGACGAAGGACTTGATCATTCTGATGAGAGACGTAAATGCCGAGGTAGGAATGGGCAACACCGAATATTATAAGCATCATTGGAGGACATGGACTCGGAGAAAGGGACGAAAATGGTGAGATTTGCAAATCTAAATGACTTCAACAAACAGTTCATATGTGGCATCATATTCACACATAAACGCATATACAACACCTCATGTACTTCTCCAGATCACCACACTACATAGTACCGAATCCACGATACCTGTTCATGAATAAAAATTTCAGATGGACGATAGAGGACGTGAGAAGAAAGAGAGGAGCTGATATAACCTCGTATTATCACATACTGGTCACCTAGATGAAACTGAAATTCGAGAATCGCTGGACAACGTAGTGGACAACATCACGACATCTGATTGTGCCTTTCTTCAGGATACTGTCAAACTCAACGAGTACCATCAGAGGGGCTGGGTCTCTGCTGAAACACTGGATAACGTTTAAGAAAGGAGGGAAAAGAATACAGCAGTCACTATCGCGCGAGGAAGAACAGGGAAATCCAAGGCACAGCCTTATTACACAGAGGCAAACAAGCAATTGAAGAGTAGCATCAGGGCCGGCTTACGTAAATATGTGGAAGCTCTAGCAACGAGGTTGGAAAAGGCTTCAAGAGAAGGAAACATGCGTCAATTGTATGATTCAACAAAAAAGCTCTCTCGAGATCATCATAAGCCAGAATGACCAATGAAATTCAAAGAAAACAAAGCAATCACCAACATTGAAGAAGAGCGTAACAGTTGGGTAGAGCACTCTGACGAATTCTTGAGTCGACCAGCATCACAGGACCCACCTTACATCGAAGCAGCATTCACGGAGCTCCCAATTGATGTTGATCCATCAACAATTGAAGAAATCGGCATGGCCATCAGACAAACAATGAGCAACAAAGCAGAGGGACCAGAAAACATTCCTGCAGAGGCAATGGAAGCGGACGTGGCCGAAACTACGAAAGTACTCCACATTCTCTTCAACATGTATCAACAGACAGGAAAGAAGGATACCTGATCACAATACCACACAAAGGAGATATCAGCAAGTGTGAGAACTACACAGGAATCAGTCTTCTCTCAGCACCAGAAAAAGGCTTCAACAGAGTGTTGTTAAACAGAATGAAGGACTCTGTAGACGCCTAACTTCAAGATCAACAGTCTGCATTCCGTAAGGTTCGACTGTGTACCGACTAAACTGCAATATAATAGATCATTGTGGACCAATCAATTGAGTGGAATTCACCACTTTATATCACACATTGACTAGTAGAAAGAATACGATAGTGATCAAGAAAACACTACGAATGCTACTCCACCACCACGGCTGCCCAAGAAGATTGTGAACATCATACGGAATTCTTATGATGGGTTAAACTGCGAAATCGTGCACGGAGGACAGCTGACAGACTCATTTGAGGTGAAGACCGTTGTCAGGCAAGGTTGCCTATTGTCACACTTTCTCTTTCTCCTGGTGATCGATTCGACTATGAAGACATCAACATGTAGTGAGAATCAAGGGATACAGTGAACAACTAGGACACAGATAGACGATCTGGACTTCTCAGATAATCTGGTTCTTCTATCGCACATACAAAAACAAGGCGAGAGAAGACGACCAGTGTGACAGCGGCCTCAGCAGTAGTAGATCCCAACATGCACAAATTGAAAAGCAAGATTCTCTGATACAACACAACATGCGACAAACAACCGAAATCACTCTTGATGGAGATGCGTTCGAAGACGTTAACCCCTTTGAATATCTTGGAAGCAGCATCAACAACCAAGGTGGATCCGATTCAGATATGAAGTCATGAATCAACAGCTGCATTTCTACAAGTGAGCAGTCTGCAATTCAAAAAAACTATCAACAAACACCAAAGTCAGCAATTTCAATGCAAATTTCAAGAGTTATACTGAGTCACATGACAAGGCTCTCAATTGGGACCCTCAGTGTGAAAGGATGAATTTGATGAAACCATCTAATAAAGGATAGCGATCTGTATAATTTGATAACTCTGTATAAAATGCTATACATCATGTAACTTTTAGGGTTGAACTTTTCTAAACTCTCCCTTCCTTGTGAGAAGGCAGCAACGCTGAGGATGCCGTCCGTCCAAGGGAAACACCTTACTGCTATCACACCTCATCCCAGTCAGCACAACGACATCGCCCTCCAACATTAAACTGCTGCTTTTAGTCTTACCGAACTACATTGTCTTGAACATATGATCCTGTAAGTTTTACAATGCCAGGCTAGTAGATTAGAGTACGGTATAACCAAAAGCAGCAAGTCAAAATCTGAGGGCGAATTTGTACTGCTGACTGGAAAGGCGTGTGATATCAGTAACTCGTTTTCCCCGGACCGACAGCATCTGCAGCGATACTGCCTTCTCACAAGGAAGGGAGTGTCTGGAAAAGTTCAACCCGAAAAATGTCATACCTCACGGATTTCTGTTTCGGGCGGTAAGACTAGTTCAAGAGCGGAGCTAACATTTCGACTTCCTATAAAAAGAACGAGCGCGACTAATCACCAGTAGTCATCACTTGTGCTCTGCGGTTTCTAAGAGAAACACTAGTCGACCTTTCTCTTCAGGACCCTCAAGAAGCACCCTTCCACGGTGTCGGTAGCCGGCAAGTGACATCCGACCTCATACCTGTACCAACACACGAGACCGGACCAGTCACGATAGGCAAGTCCGAGCATCACAGCACAGTAGCATATATGGCCGGACTAGTTTTAATTAGTAAAATGGTTGGACTAAGAAAAACGGATTCATGAAACTCGTAACCAGTATTCCGTAAACTTATGCTTATCACTCTTTCCTACTATCAATCACTGTCAAACATTACATTTGCATAGCGAATAAAAGACAGTAGATATAACTAACTTACCAAGAAATGTTAACAGCTGAGGCATTAATCTCTCATGTAATTCCAATGTACCACGCCTCTCCCAAAAGTTCTGACGTCGACCACTTCCATTAGTGGTACTGCCGATACCACTGTTATCAACAGCTTGCTCAACACTTGAAGAAACATTTGTCCGAACTTCCAGTGGAGCTGAAACAAGCCATCGTTTGTCAAGATCCGCTTGCACTGTTTGTGTTGGTTCTGCTGAATTAACAGATGTGTGCTTTGCTACAGGATTACGTGCTGTCACCTCTAGTGTACATCCCGTCGCTTCACATACTATTCTGATCGGTTTCAATAAACTCAGCTGAAATGTCCGAGATCCCACTCTCGAAGAGGCTTTCTTGGTCACCGTCTCACCTTCAACTTGTGATACTGCTTCACCGAGTGTCTCAGTCGAACTCGCCTCTTCCTTATCTTTAGGCGAAGGTGAAGAGCTACACTCCACTTCACTATCTTCTGAACTTTCTATCTGGTGCTCATCATCATCAGTCATAGAACATGTCAATAGGTGTTTCAATAGTGTGCTGCAAATAGACACAGGAAGACTAACAAAACTACTTCCCTTGAAATAATCGTGCACAATAACCCATGGCTGGGGTATCATCACTGCAGCACCTGCATTTGTGCTGCTGTTAACCACAGGACCTTCTCTAACTTCGAAAACATATGCTTCACGGACTGGATCTGATCGACGACTTCTGACCACTTGTCGTAACAGTGGACGACCTGTTATAACCAGAGAGGTAGGTGTAGATGGAGGGCGTCCACGAAGATTTCTGTTTGTTCTGACTACAGGCGGTTTCACAAACATGTGTACACAAGAAAGGATAAACTGTCAAAGTTGGATATCTGTAATGATAAATGTCTCTGTAATTCCACCAATGATGAACTGAAATTCAGCACAAATGATTAGAGATATATTGCATACTGACAGCTGCTGGTATATAGTATGTATGATCACAGATCTGATTGGATTGTATACGAGTAATCCTGAAACTAGTTGATGAGTAGGAAGAATTCAATGTAATATAATCCTAGAAATGCATTTCGAATAATTGATCTCAGTTTAAAAAGCATTGAGTTCTTTTAACCGATCAATCGATATCGACCAATAAACTGTGTTGCTACGTCTGTTATTGGTTGCGTAATGATGATCGATTGATCATTTCAATGAAACTTAACAATCTTCAAAACTGTATGTGAAGAGAATAATATTTAATCTTGCTGTGTAATGAGTGATATGCAGACATATATTGGTGTCTAACAAGGCTGTCCTACGCGTTGATGCTATGTTGGTCAGGTGATGTACATAATGCCGACTCTGATATATTTAACTGTGAACTGGTGACTATTGAGTATTTGCTGCATCATCACTCTCTTATTTGCACTTCATCAAATCAGCTATTTAATTTACTTAGACATCAAATGAAATTGTTGGTTAAAATGTATTTTCCCAGTGGAGTGCTGAACGTCGGTTCATGGAAATCGATGTTGATTTTCACATTATTTGCATGTATTGCTTTTTAATGCATTGAATTAATGTAAACATCAAAGTGTTGAACATTAACTTTTCGAAGGTTATAGATATTTGAAGTAGAATGAGCTGGTAGCGGAATTTGTCATTATCTTTCTGGATAATCTATTCAGCACACATGGAAGACTTGACTAGGGTTTAATGCTGTCACAGTGGACGCTTAACCTTTCAGTCTTCTGTCTGAGTACTGAGTGATGTACAAGTTTAACTTGAATCGATACATGAACTACACGATGTTAGGTGGGAATAAGTTTCCCACCGAAGACAAAGACAGATGGTTATGTAATATTTTCGGTCTGATTAATGTGACTTCTATCATGTCTTCATCAAGTATATGCAATAAAGCACAGCCATCCATGTGCTTATAAACTAAAGAAAGTTAACGATAGCAATGATAACCTAGAATAAGTGAAGATTATTTAACTATATAAACTCACTTGACTATAAACTGACTGAACTGCATCGAGCACTCTCACATAACACTGTATGTTCGGAGCTATTCCTTGTCTGTCATTCAACTGAAGTACAAATTCATATTGACTGTTTGGTTGCAGAACATTAGATGTTATTCTCATCAATCCGAATTATTTTATCAATCAAATATTATTGATTGTGTTTAATTCAGTAGTGAGTGCAGGCAACCAATGGAAACGAGAACTATAAACAATAAATATGAAGATTACTTCAAATGATCGATTTCCTAATTAGTACAGAATAAATGAGAGTAGTCTGTGAATAATATCAAAATGAATACGCTTTAAACCATTGATGCGTTGAATGTTAAAAATTATTGAAATCACTTTTAACCAGCATACATGATAACGATTATACAATCGTCTACATGCATTAAATTGATTGATAATAAGATTGGTTACTGAATATTAGTAAGTAGTATAGTTATTTTCAACAATATCATTTCGGAGTGAAATGAACTCGGATATTCTTGTTAATTTAAATATTTTATTTTGAATCACATGTTTTAACCAAATCAGTGTATTCACATTCTGTTTTTTCATTTGAAATATCTCAGTGTATCTCACGGATAGTTAATCTGTTGTTCTAATGGCTAAAATTAATATTCTTCATCTAATTATTTATTAAACAGTGTCCTCAGTAGTAGTGTGGTGCGCACTACTTATAAGTAGTATATGACGCGAGTGTAAACTTAATGTCTGGCAGCAGAAGATGAGAGAAGATCAAGAAAGGAAGAGTGGGAACACAATGCAATTTGTGTAAAACGCATGAATAGTGAGTGAAATGTCAGACAATGGATTGATGATGGATTAAAGACTTGCAAATTAACGGTTACGATATGGTTTTCCTATTTTACTGAGTAACTCTGTAATTTTCGTTAAATACAATTCGGTTGCCCTCACCTGTGTTCTCCTTCACTACAGAAGATCTGTTTAATCTTAACTTGTTACTTTGAACTAGGTGATCTTTTTCTCATGATATGAAATCATATGAGGAAGGCTGTAGTAAACATTGATTAACGAATTTCTCGAGATTTGAATACACTTTTAACTTTTACTTCTCAATTTAGATCCTTAAGAATTTTCACTTATGTCAGTAATACAAGCTTTTCTCAATTTACTAGCATGACCCAGTTATCTAGGTCACATAAAGGAAGATAGAAAAAGGTTTGTAATATAGACATTTGAACTATGATGTTTACGATTATGTCAGTAGTATTGAGCACACATCTGCAACTCAAATATTTATCTATTATCTAATTGTTTATAAAAACAAACAATCAATAACTGAACTCACTATTGATTAGCACTCATAACATACACATACATGATTCCCCTTTTTATTCACTCACTTTCTTGTTTGATTATTTATTGTGCGTTTTGTGAACTCTATTTCTAGTTATTAACAAAACACACAGTTTCAAAAACTGGAAATGTGGATTTCTAAAACTTCTCGATTAAATTTATGGTTGTACTAGGAGATTCGGTATGTCTAAGTACTCAGTTTACGGATGTATTGAAGTCAGAATGTAGCGGAAACGATGTTAACATCATAAATGTTTGGCATTTGTAGACTTTGCGCAACTTGTGGATTAGGTGAGGTCACTGTCTGTAAAACAAGATATAACGCAGCAATGAGCTCTTTGTTGCTCTCCATTTGAAAACCATGGTTCATGACAACAGAGCACACCAATGGGTGGGATGTTTTAACTAATACTGGCATCTGAAACATCGCCCACATATCTCGTAACAATCAAAAAGCCAATGTTAGGTTTATTCATAAGGTCCTAGGGAAAGATGGTGAGTTAATTGATGAGGTTGTGAATTTTCAACGACCCAGATGGTTGTGATATACACTAACTGCACTCAACTATCACCTAGTGTATGATTACGTCGCAATAAATTCTGACTCATTTTAACAGGCTACTTCAATGTATCTCTATAGGTATATTGTTTGTCTGTTCAGTGTCAGCCCTTGTCATTTTTGTATGTAATTTTGCAAATATGTTTCAAGTTGATGAATGTATTAATGTATCTAACTAAATTAAATGTATCTAAACATGATTCAATTGATATTTTAGACTTATAAACTAGACAGCAGCACCTCAATGCAAACATGTTTGACAGTAAGTACTCAATGAAATGAATTACATTGGTATTTCATTTGAATATTGAAAAAAAGGTGGACTGATATTAATCCGATTGACTGCCTATGTGTCATACACTAGATCTCATGATAATTTGTTATTGTTCTGTGGAGTTAGGGTGTGAAATTGTTCTGAACATGTGTTGTTGATACATAGTTGTGTGGATTGAATGAAAGCACCATGGGGGATATACCTTATTTCACATCATATTCGGTTACAATTTGACAAATTCATAATGTTTCACATCTACACAACACATTTTGTTATGATGAATGGAAAATTCACATATACAACTCAGCAGAGACCTCTTTGTTGCTGTCTATTTGAAAACCATGGCTCATAAAAGCAGAGTACATGAATAGACGGGATATTTTTAAAAATACTTGTATCTGAAACAACGCTCTCATATCTCGTAACAATTACGAATCCAATGTTAATTTTAATCATGAGGTTCTAGGGAAAGATGGTAAATTAATTGATGAGGTTTTGAATTTTCATCGACCCAGATGGTTGCGATATACGTTACTTGTGCTCAACCGTCACATCTACACGACACATTTTGTTATGATGAATGGAAAATTCACATTGTTTAGGAATGGAGATAAGTGTACAAATATGTTTGAATTATATTATTTGGAAAAAATTAGTCCAATGAAAAGCATTTCATATTCTTCAGAACTCTTAATGCTTCACAAGACGTTATTTGTTGATTGTTGGAGTTAGACGCTGTTGACTGTTTTTCATCGAATTTATATTTTCACATTTCAAGGACATGACTTAGGAGGAAATGGTCTGTTAGAATTTCTCTAACTAGTTATTTTATTAAGATGAAATTTGTCTAATTATTTTGCAATAATTGTCACTTTTATTTCTACATTTATTTTGATTGTTTTCTCTCCTGATATGATCTGTGTGTGACCTTATAGTAGTTACTTACTTTTTCACAATCGCTGATAGATAGGTTCCATTTTGATGTCAGCTAAGTATCAAGCATTTTAAAAATGATCTACGTTTGTGAGATTTTGTTCAGCGTTTTAATGTCTGTTCAGTTAAAATCCTGTTCCTACAAATCAATATGCATTGAAATAAGATAATGTATGTTGTACAACTTAACATTTCGCTGTTCCTCAAGTGACTCTGAATGAACTGGATAATCATTCTATTCGAAAGAGCATTTTCGATAGTTGTCTCAACCTTTTGTTGTGTCCTTTAGATCAAAGCCCTTATTTGGAACCCTCAGTACCATAGGAAAAGGGGTAGGTCAAGGCATACTTTACTCCGAGAATTCAAAACAGACTTTAAAAGAATGCACAGTAATTGGGTAGAACTAGAAAGGAATTCTGAAGACAGAGATGGTTGACTAAATCTACTCTTTAGGATTCAAAGGCGTAAGTGAATGATTTTAAAAAGATTTCTTCATGGAGAATATGTTTGATGGGATTTTTTCATGAATTCAGTAGTGGTGATTTTAAATGCCAAATTAGTACAAAACAGCGTTTATAGTAATCTGAAATAAATTTCTATATAAAATTTGGCTTACTGAATTTATAATAAAGTAGTATAAAATCACCACAAGAAATCTCTAGCTATTTAATGATCTTAAAGCCATGGTTCCTTCATTTTTCATTTAAGAAATGAATGGATACAACCTATGATCATACTTTGATATTCATTTTCAGCTTCATTATTATTTTATAATTTTGTTTAAATATCCTTTTAAACTGAACGGTTCTGAAAATTACGAAGAGTTACTTTGTGCCTGGAAGGAATCTCTTGATGATCAGGTGATTTTTATTAATGACATCTAAAGTGAGACCATTAAATA